ATAATAGATCAGGGAAACAACACCGCCAACAGTGAAAGAAAGTTCTCTATTTAGTCAGAATATATGTTTCTTTTTGGGTCACACCAGCGATGCACAGGGGTTACTCATGGCTTATACACTCAGGAATCACTCCTGGCAGTGTTTGGAAGACCATATGGGATGTTGGGAATCGAACTCAGGTCGGCTTCGTCCAAGGCAAACGTCCTACCCACTGTGCTATCACTCCAACCCTAACATTTTCTTTATCCTTAGGCACCTAAATGGAATTATCTAAATAAGATTGCTATGTGCATAGCCAAAGAAATGGGTTTTATTAAGTGTCAGGTTAACAAGAATGCTTAAAGTTTAAGTTAATTTTTATGTATATGAATTATATCTAACAATTAGCCTTCTACTTTAGTCTTCCTGTTCACTAAACATCCTTCAACAGAATACAGATTTTCAGGAGGCAAATCAATTTATATAAGACTGTAGAAGGAAACTATTATAAAGGCATGCAATTATTATACTAGAACAGCATGAGTGAAAAGACATTATGAAAAATAAGCATATATATATCTATTGTATTATTGTAGAAAATCATTATTTGTAGTTACAACATACTATACTTCTATACTTAAAAAAATTGTATTTGTTACTATTTTTTTGCTTAAAATATTTTGCTTTTGTTCAAATAAAAAAATTTTCCATGCATTTTCATTGTCTTTATAATGGTATTCCACTATAAAAAATAGTATTAGGTATAATGGTGATACAGAAGTAAATTGATTTATAGCATGTGTTTCATTTCTAAGCACTTTTGTGCCCACATATATATTAACATTGCAGCTGAATTCTTCCAAATCCAATCCTAAGCACGAGTGCATCTATTGCTATTTAATCTCAACATTTGTTTTTCCCCATACCCTTCCTTTATTTTCCTCAATGAATAGAAAAGAAAACACCAGCTATTTAGATCAAGTATATAAGAAGAGGCTAGAAATTGTACAAGTTTTTCTTGATAGCACCTGTAAGTAATTACACAACGTTTCTTACACTTTTGTAGGAATAGAATCACTGGGAGGACAATGAAATACACGGGGATAGGTTTCCCAACTAGTTTTTCATCTCTAAATGTCACTGCTTCCAGAATTTATATTTCTAATAAGAACATACATAATGATGATGGTGGTCCTTTAGAAATAGTTAATAGGGCCTGACTTGCATGTGGCAAATGTAGCCTCACAAATAAAATGTAAGTTTTAAAATATAATTTAAAACATTAAATTTACTAGTCACATACAGTGAGGCACTGGGACATATGACAGAGTTTCTACTTTTCCTCATATGATACTATAAAATTAGGGTCTATCATGTGGTATTACACATAACAGAACACTGATTTTTTAAAGTTTTATTGGCTTGTTTTGGTTAGAGCATGTACACATGCACAGACGTGTGTGTGCATGCGCGTGAGCACACACGCACACACACACACACAGACACACACACACACAAACTTATCTTTCCAAAATAAAACAAAATCTTATTGAAGTTTATCGCAATGTTTGCTTGTTAGCCAGTTTAAATTAATGTTACAATATTTAACTCCTTATAATATAATATTACTATAAACAATCTTGTTCTCAAGTTCCACCACAAATTATTCCTTATGTAGAAGTAGATGTCTCCTGTCATTCTTCACATAGTCTTGTTTATAAAACACAATTATTCTTACCATGCAATTTCTCATTATCAAAATTTGAGTTACATTATTGATACTGATTCCAGACTCACATAAGATAATGTTATCAAATAATTTTCAACTAACAAGTGCACTTGAATTAAAAAAAGTCCTGGTATCTCTAATTCTTACTCATTTTATTGCAATTTTCTCTAATCATTACACAAAAATAAAATCATTATAACTCTTCAACAACCACTTTTTAACTATGTTATCAACTCCTTATTTTATTATACGTATTATTTTTGTATGCTATACTAAGGTAAAGGTAAAGGCCCTCCCGTTGATCATCGATTTGCTCGAGCGGGCCCAGTAACGCCTCCATTGGAGACTTTGTTGTTACTGTGTTTGGCATATCGAATATGTCACGGGGAGCTTGCCAGGCTCTGCCGTGCGGGCGAGATACTCTCGGCAGCTTGCCGGGCTCTCCGAGAGGGGCGGAGGAATCGAACTCGAGTCTGTCATGTTGGCTGCGTGCAAGGCAAACGCCCTACTGCTGTGCTATCGCTCCAGTATGCTATACTACACAAGAAAATACAGTTCTGCCATAGTAAAGTATTCTTAGTTTTGAAAGCATAGTATCGTTTTTCAATATTATACAAGAGGATTGTCACTACAAGGAACATAGAGTGAGCTCACCCAACAACAATGTTTGAATGAGGTGTAACTGTGATTTACGATGCATTTTAAATAGTTCAGTAGCACTGCTATTAAATTTACAAGTCAGAAGAATCTTATTATGGAGGGTGGAGTTTCTCTCAAGAAGTGCTCAGAGAACTCACTGTTCATTCCCTGCATACTTGGTCCACATGGAAAAACAGTTAAATGGTCCAGACCAGCAGTGAGGTACTGCTCAGAGAATCTTAGAAGCCTCAAGGGCTACTCTCAGGGATGTTGGTAGAAGAGCAGGTATCAATGAGGATTGCTGGAGAACTTTAAAGTCCCTAGACATGGAAAGCATGATGGCAAAACACTGAGCTAGCTTCCAAATCACTAAACAATCTTAGAAAGAACTAATATTCACTAGGGAAATATTCAAATAGCATCCCATGTTATGGAATAACATAATTCAAATTTAATGAAATATTTTTAAATGAATTTCTTTTTTTTAAATATTTTACCTAGCCATGTTTTTCTTTGCCACAGGCAGAAGAATGTTATAGAAAAAAACAAAAACTAAAACAAAAACAGACTGACCTATTCAAGTTTTATTACAACTGGATCATATTACTTTGAGGGTACTAATTTCAGTTATCCAATTTTTCTCTTCTATACTTCATTTCTAAAATTCTTGATCCTCTTTTGTTTTGATTTGAATTAAAAATATTTAGCAAAACCATTCTGTTAGAAAATATCTTTAATTTAAAAAAAGTAGACATTAATGAAGACCTTATGGATTCTAAGATTTTCATTTACCTTTATGTGACCAATTCTATAGCCATAATGTTGAAAAAATAACAATCAGTATTTTTTCTTTATTAAAAATATCTCCTTTGTACTGCACTGAGCTGGTCATTAAACAAAGTGACTTTCAAAAAAACTATGTTTTCATATTACTTGAAGTGAAAAAACATGACTTAATTTGATATATTATTTTATACTTACTATTTTTACAAAGCTTTGTCACCAGGTATCAACCTAGTCCAGATCTTCAGAGAACTTTACACACAAATGTGAAATCCCTACTGTTTCATGGCAATCTATGAGTGTTATAATCTTTTTTCATATCTGTGTTTTCCTAGAAATCAGAATCCTAAAGATGACTCCTGGTCTAATGTGAATTGAACTTTTGTCCTGTGAATATATGTTGCAAGAACTTTTCTTGTGAGCATTTTAAAGCTTTTTGAGTATTTATAGAACAGATGTAATACTTTTGAAATGGTACTGCAGAGCAGTTTTGTCATGTTAAATGAGATAATTAGTAACGTGTTCAAAACTTGGGAGATCATGTTGTATCAACCTGATTTTGAAATGGGTTGAAAGAAAGATACAGGACAGAACAAATGCAAAGGAAATGTGTGGGTTGGAGGTTGTGTTTGAAGAAAAGGCACTGATCAAACTGTTTTGTTATAAGAAACTCTTTATATCACAGTAGATTTGATCCTAGTACCTTTTTGGTAGGGCTGAAGCAATAGCACAGCATGTAGGGCTTTTGCCTTGCAAGCAGCCGACTCGGGTTCGATTCCTTCATCCTCTCAGAGAGCCCTCAAGCTACCCAGAGTATCTCACCCAGACAGCAGAGCTTGGCAAGCTCCCCATGTTGTATTTGATGTGCCAAAAACTGTAACAACAAGACTCACAGTGGAGATGTTACTGGTGCCCACTCGAGCAAATGGATGAACAACAAGAGGACAACACTGTGCTACATTCCTACTATTTTTACAATATCGCAAAAAATATTTGCTTTTTCAATATCAAACATCACTGCTGAGTAGACTTAAAATGTATAAAGTCAGATGTTTTGGTAAAAATTATGTAAATCATACTAATTTTATTAATGTTTTAACCTTTTTCTCGCAGTGATTTTCTTAATTATATGTATTAATACATTTTGGTTGTAGGATATCAGTGAAAAATATTAATCAAAGCCTTCCACTAGCCTATATATGAACTATCAAATATAAAAATGATATAAAAATAGAGGTGTTTAATAGCAAGCATAGAAAACATTTTTTTTCAGAGTACATTTTGTAGCAAAGTGAAAATTAGTAACTGCCAATCTCTGATCTAAGGGGAGATAGAATCACTGATATTTAAAGCATTCTGAGAAATAATTACTGAGGGCATTTTGAGAATTAATGAATTAAATTAATCATAACTGCATTTATAAATTTAATAAATTTTCTAAATATAAGTTAGTGGTGCAAAAGTCTAGACTAAAGTAGCTAAACTACTAGCATGTGTATTTATTGGGCTTTAAGTAGAATTGGGATTTCAGTCTTTTACTGAGATTTGACAGTATGCTTCACTGTTCACCTGAAACCACCAAACATAACATTCTTAAACTCGCTTCATAACTCAGTGATCAGTCACTGAGCATTTCCTCGGAGTGCATTTCTGTTCAGCTGAGATACAATATTACAGTATCATTTAAACTGTCTATCTATAGATAAAAATAGAGACAGTATAGGGCATCATTTCTGATAAAATGAATACATGTTTTATAGTGTTCCTTGATATAAAACATACTTAATAGTTACACACACATACCCACATTACATCAAACAGGTAATAATGCATATATATGTGTATATGAAAAAATAGATATTTTTCTTACCTGTCAAGTTCTTCAATCCAAGTTCTTGAAGTCCAAAATTTCCATCTTTTCTGTAGTTTAAAAATATTGCCAAGGCATATCGATCCTCATAAAGTTTTGTACCACGAATAATGCGTAAATTTTCCAGAGGCAGGTAAGGAAACTGATTGAGAGCCACTAACACGTAGCCTGTGACTTCTCGAATAGACTGAAATGACACAAAGAATTTTTTGTCTTAAATGATTTATTTTGGTCAGGATGTTTATGTGTGTAATCATTTAAATTAAAAAGTTATTTAATTCTTATTTCAGCTTTGAATCTAATATACTAATTTTATATCATATTATGAACAATTTATTTGGTAATACAAGATCACAAAGGGTTCGAATCTCATTCAAACTGTGAGATCTTTTTTTTGTCACAAAGGCTCTTGTAAAGAACTGATATTGTTTTGTAAGACATTCTTCATACTTGAGATTTGAATATGATTGAAGGAAAAAAGATTTTATTCATTGATGGACTGAAATGAGTTCAGGATTATAACCATCAATCAAACTTTACATTCAGAATTTATTAAGCTTATCACAAGCAAGACAAAGAAAGATTCTAAATTTTGCTATGTTACTATTTTATTTTGTGATTATCAAGGACAGTTATCATGTATATATATGGAGGGAGTATGTATAGACAATGTGCATTAAAGACTGATTATATCTCTAAAATGTTTACGTTTAAATTTTATTTTGTAATGCCCACTGTTGAAATGTATGTTCTATAATATGAATCACCACTTGAAAGTGTGTAAAACAATTTAAAAGCAAAATACTTTAAGCAAGAAAGGTTTTCAAGTGAAATCTAAAATTGAAGTTTTTCAAAAAATGAACCAAATAATGATTACTATGAACATGCATAATTAAAACAAAATATGATGAAAAATGATTTTTCAAAACAATATTTTAGCAAAGTTCTTATTATTTTAGACAATTTCTGTTTATTGTCTATTGTCTCTCTTCATTTCTACTAATTCTTACTCCTTAATTGAGTTTTGAGGTTAATGCCCTCCAAATATTTACTTTAAAACTCTGCACTGAAACATTGTATGGCTGAAACCCAATCATGAACAACTTTGTAATTTGTATATCAGTGTGATTCAATGAAGAAAAAAGACTCTCCCTGAATTTCACACTCATATCCAGCTTCCCATTCAACATTTCCACTTGTATGTCTAGTAGTCTTATATTTGTACAAACCCAAAACATTGCATATTCTTTTTTCCAAACTGCTTTTACTCATATGTTACTATTTTATTTTTTGGTTATCAAGGACAGTTACCATGTACATATTTGGATGGAGTATGTATAGACAATGCACATTAAAGACTGTATTATATTATTATATATAATATATTACATATTATGATTATATTATATATAATTATATATTATAATTATATTATATTTCTACTAAAGTCAATCTATTCTTCCTGTTATTCAAGTCAAAGGTTTGAGATCACGTTTATCTTATTCGTAACAAATATTGTTTATGTATTTGTTCTATCTCTAGTGATCAGAAAATCCACTATTTTTTTTTTAAATTTCAGTTTACCACTACACTTTATATAAACACCGTGGTTGCTAATGATGATTTGTTATAGGCAGTTAATATTCCAACATCAATCCTGCCATCATTATACCTTCTCACCATCTCGGAGAGCCCGGCAAGCTACCGAGAGTATTCGATATGCCAGACACAGTAACAACAAAGTCTCCAATGGAGACGTTACTGGGCCCGCTCGAGCAAATCGACGATCAATGGAGGGCCTTTACCTTTACCTTTACCACCACCATATGAAATTTTTCCAATCACCCTTTAAGCCTGCCCTCATAGCAGGGCCTCAATAATTTATTTTATAATGCTTGTTATCAATAATTTTCTAACAGAATGATAAAGTTTTCTTCAAAAAAAGTAAGTGGATATTATTGTATCTCACCATGGATCCAATTAAGTCTTTGTATAAAAGATTACTAACATTGTAGGATAACACTGTTCTATCCTTCCTGAATAACATCAGGAATTGTTGATATTTGATAGTTCCTTAAGAGGTAGTTTGCCCTTGGGCAGTCAGGAAGGGCTTTAGAATTACCTTTTAGATGGATCCTCAGGAAAGGCTTTCTTATGTTGATTTGGCTACCTGACTGGGTGGAGTGTCAGCCCAGACTAGGAGGGAGCAGGAGAAGGAGAGAGCAGGGCTGAAAGATAGACTATGGAGAGACTAGCAAGGGGAACATGTGCTTGAGAGAACCTAGGCCCTCCATAACATAAATTTCTTCTATGGGATAAACTTCCTGGTAATAAACTGCCACTAAGATCAACCGGCCTGGCCCTCGTCTCTTCCTTCGTCTACCCTTGGCCAATAGCCATCCCGATGCAGGCCACACACGGCGGCTCTAGGGCACCGATAGAGCAGTCGAGAGCCCGTGAACACACGACCTTCAGCGTGTGTAGTTTTTTACATAACATGTTGTTACTGGTTAAGCCTTCTCCATTTATATTTTGTTAATCAAGATCGGTTACCTTCTAACTACATCCCATCCATTTGGTTTGCTACTCCTGGTGTTTTAGTGCTGTAGAGTTTGAGATGTTATGTCCACACACTCCAAGCAGTCCAAAATTTTAATGGGGTGACACAGGTAGAGTTAAAAAATTAACTGGCCAGTGGTGTTGGGGCATATTTATGACTACCAGGGCTTCCAAAAATATTAGAAGATGTGGGGAGGTAACTCATCCTCAACTTCCTGAATGCCTGGAAATTTCAGTCACAAAACCCTCATACCTAAATGTTTCAGCAGATTATTTCTGGGTGAGGCTTTTCCCAAGCAGTGGAATCTGACCTGGAGCATGATAACAACTGTGGAGTGAACCCCACTATTTCTTAAGCCATCTACTGCTATTATCTTGGCCAGTACCACTCTTCATAATTAGTGCAATAGGGATGGACAGATAATACTGGGAGTAGAGTGCTTGCCTTTTGAGTTCCAACCCAGGCTTTTCATATGGTCCCCTGAGCAGTGATCCCTGACTACAGAGCTAGGGTAAGACTTGAAAAAAGTATATTTCAAGAACAAACAACAAACAAATAACGAAATTACTGCAATTCACTTCTCATTTTCCACTTTCTTGTGAGATATTCTCAGTCAATTCTAGTCCTAATATTTTCAAAACAAATGAAATAATAAAAATTAATTTAACATGCCCATGTCTGAAGACAACCAGAGAAATATTCCAGCTATACACTCTGTTTCATATGTCCCAATATCTTGTTTTCATGCAAATCATTGTGTGTAGCCGTACTACATGGTATTCATTATATTATTAAGAGACATGAGTTTTATTAGCTCTGATTGACTATTTCTCTAACCACCTTCAATTGTTCTCTCAAAGTCTACCTCTTTGGAAGCAAACTCTGACCTCTTCTACATGGAAATTCTCCCACATTTTCCAAGCCCAATCTTTATTGTCTCTATAGTACTTCTCTTCTTAAATTACATGGCTCATATATTTATTTCAGTTATTCAATACACATATTTATTACAGTTAATATTTATAGACTGTCATTTCCCTCATAGTTTAAGTTCTACAAGGACACAGACATTGATTTGTTCTCCCCCATGTCCTGTGTGACTAGTATCTAGTGAGAAACCAACAACTATTTATTGAGCACTTTGGCTTTTCTAAGGCCATACTTTTCTGAGCAAAGTCTGCAAAATCAAGAAAAGTGCCCAAATAAAACTTATACTTTTCTTTTCTGGGATATGCTCCAAATATATTTAATCACAGAGTTATATTGACAAATGGCCTTGGGTTTGACATATCTTTTCCATTTCCTGTTTTCTCCCAACTCTCTACCCCACAAACTCACACTGTAGAAATCATACACATGCCTAGAAGATTTTGTAGTTCTAGTAGAAATGTTTGAGAGATAAGTGAAAGAATCTGGGTGTGCAGACTAAAATGTCCTGTGTGTCAAAACTCTCACAGTAAAGGAAGAGCCAGGGTGGAGAAGGAATCTCAGACTGGAAGGTCATTTCATTCTATCCTACCACAGCATTGTAAATTCCAAGAATGCTAACATCTGAAGCTAGCTTTTGAAGAGGTGACAAAGACGTATCCCTCAAAAGGAAGACAGACATATTTAATAAAATTTTATTTATAATTAGGACTGGAGCGATAGCACAGCGGGTAGGGCGTCTGCCTTGTATGCAGCCAACATGGCCAACCCGAGTTCGATTCCTCCGCCCCTCTCGGAATGCCCGGCAAGCTACCGAGAGTATTCGATATGCCAGACACAGTAACAACAAAGTCTCCAATGGAGACGTTACTGGGCCCACTTGAGCAAATCGATGATCAAGGGGAGGGCCTTTACTTTACTTTTTACTTTACAATTTAAAATCCTTCATTTATTCTCTTGCCCCAAATCCCCCAATTCTGAGGGATGCACATCCTCAATAGTCATTTGTAAGAATAAAATTTTAATGGAGAAAAGATGGGGGGGTGAGGAATAAAAGAACTCTATGGCATCAAATTGTAAACTCTGAACACCTCTGGCATTCCTAAAAAACTAAGCTTTTTTCATTGAATATATAAATGACTAAGGGAAGGCAAGGACCATCCATGCCATGCATTACTTTTATATAACAATTTGGTTAAAATTACATATGCCTAAAATTAACTAGTCAAGAAATCAAAGTTCTCATTCAGCCACTGCTTCAGTGGTTAAATTTTTATTTCACTGAATTCTTAGAACAGAGGAAAAACATACCTTAAAAGTAAGTAATGGATGCATATGTTCAATCCACTTTGTGAAAAAACGATTTAAGGGAACTATCATCCATTATAATAAATTATTTCATGAGTGTAAAAATCAATTTTGATGGGTATATGTAGACGCCCTCTACATGTATCACATATCCTTTCTCTGACACAGATAAATAATGTAAAGCACTGTAGCACTGTAGCACTGTCCTCCCGTTGTTCATCGATTTGCTTGAGCAGGCACCAGTAATGTCTCCGTTGTGAGACTTATTGTTACTGTTTTTGGCATATCGAATATGTCACAGATAGCTTTCCAGGCTTTGTCATGTGGACGGGATACTCTCGGTAGCTTGATGGACTCTTCGAGAGGGGCAGAGGAATCAAATCCGGATTGGC